CTTCAACCTCCTAAATCACTGGGATTACAGGCAGGCACCCAGGTAATTTTTTAACTTTTTTTTTTTTTTTTTTTTAAAGAGATGGAGTCTTGCTATGTTGTCTAGGCTGGCCTTAAACTCCTGGGCTCCAGTGACCCTCCCATCTCAGCCTCCCAAAATGCTGGGATTACGGGCGTCAGCCACCAAACCCAGCTAATTTTTTAATTTGTATTTTTATAGAGATGGGATCTCACTATGCTGGCCTGACTGGTCTTGAACTCTCCTTAAGCACCCTCTCACCTCAGCCTCCCAAAATGTTGGGATTACAGACATAAGCCACTGTGCCCAGCCCTGATAACTCTGTATTATTGTATTTGTTACACTTGGCACCGAAGCAGAAGAGGGGGACGGGGTGCAATGTACAGGACATTGTACCCTTGTCCCTCACACTCCACCCTTATATTCTCAACTCATCTCTTTCCTGCTTTCAGTTGGTCAACTTCATTTACATGGTTTCCTACCAAGAAGCCTGCTGGGGACACTCAGAAACTAACAACTCCATTTTACAGACAAAGCGTAGATGTCAGTGAACCTGCTTGAGTTTGCACTGCCAGTGAGGGGTCTGACCGGATTCCAAATCCCAGCTTCCACCATGACCTGCCCCCGGCCTGACACCCCCCCCCCCCGTTCCCACCACCCCACCACCCATATTTCCTGAAACGCTAGCGGACTGCAAAGCTGACTCTGTTTTCCTGTTCCCTCCTGGCCATATCACACTTTCCAAACTGCCTGGCCTGTCCTCATTAGAAAGCCATTTTCTCACTTCATCAGACTGGGATCCCTTTGGGGACAGACCCAAATTAGCCTCCTAGTCGCAGGAGTAACTGCTGCGGTGAAGGAATAGGAGACTTCCTGCTTATGTGGTGATCACAGACCCATCTTACCCTTTACAGCAGCATGCTGTCCAAGGGAATATCTGCAATGATGGACAGGTCTACATCCACCTGGCCCTGTACAGTAGCCATTAGCCATATGTCTCTGTTGTGTGCTTGGAATATGACTTGTGAGACTGAGAAGCTGAACTTTATATTTTATCAAATATTAATTCCTTTAGCTTTTTTTTTTTTGAAACAAAGTCTGGCTCTGTCACCCAGGCTGGAGTGCATCAACTCTATCTCAGCTCACTGCAACTTCTGCCTCCCAGTTTCAAGTGATTCTCCCGCTTCAGCCTCCCGAGTAGATGGGATTATTGGCACCTGCCATCACACCCAGCTAATTTTTGTATTTTTAGTAGAGACAGGGTTTCACCATGTTGGCCAGGCTGGTCTTGAACTCCTGACCTCAGGTGATCCGCCCACCTCAGCCTCCTAAAGTGTTGCTATTACAGGCATAAGCCACCATGCCTGGCCACATTTAGCTTTAAATAACCATTTGTGGCTAGTGGCTACTGTGCTAGATGGCCCAGCTTCATGGTGTCACTGCTCCCTCCTCTTCTCCCCAAGCCTTCTATTTTGGCCTCACCGTTTAGTGAGGCCACACCTCTCTGATTTGGGTGGGTCCTGAACTCCTCACAGAACTTTGACACACACATGTGTATTTTTTTGCCTACTACCCTTTGGCTGTTCAACCTCTCACTTAAACCTTGCCTCTTGGCAGGGCATGGTTGCTCACGCCTATAAACTCAGCACTTTGGGAGGCTGAGGTAGGAGGATCTCTTGAGGCCAGGTCAGCCTGGGCAACATAGCCAGACCCCCATCTCTACTTAGAAATTCTTTAAAAAATTAAACCTTGTCTCTCCTTGATTTGGAGGTCCTAGGGCCCAAGTGGTGGCTCTCTGTGGTCCGCTTTACTCCCTGTTGGGTAGTTCACATTTGGGAGCTTTTGGATGCCATAGGCCAGGGTGGCACTGCCCTCACCCTGAACTCTCCCTGGGGACTGTCCTCTCAGCTCCACAGGACCCACCAGACTCCACCAGTCACTAAGTCACAGCACAGCCACCTCCTGCTGCCTCCTCCGAGAAGCCTGCCCTGGTTGCTCTGTGCTGAGTTAGCCATTAATTGGCACCCAACCCTGGGAATCACAGCTGCGTCTGTGGCTCCTCCATGCCCCTCTGACCTTCTGACCTTCTGACCTTTCTCCAGGTGGGGCTGCCCAGAGATTGCCATCATCCTGGAGGCCAGCTCACTGTGGGGCCATAGGTGACAGGCCAGCCGTGGGAAGGGGGTTGTTGGGAAGGGACGGGTTGAAGAGGTCGGGGAAGGGCGGTGGCTGAAACCCTACTGCCAGGGTAACCTTCTCCCTGCAGAGCCCAGCTGGGCACCACCCCTTCCTCCAGCAGCCTCCCCAGTTTTCCTGGCGCTCTCGACACGCGCTGACAGCAGAGGCTGCCTTACCAGGCTGCGGGGACCGGGCATCCCCAGGCGTCCAGGGCTCCCGCTGCCCAGGCTCTAAATCGAGCGCACCCAAGGGGGTTCCCCCTCCCGCGCCCTGCCCGACCCACTGCCGCAGCTGCCGGCGGCTTGGGGACCAGCAGCAGCTGGGAAAGGCGGGCGTGTGGCTGTCCTAGGGGGCAGGCGGGCTGGCACGGGAGAGGGACAGGAACAGACGCCGGCAGCGCCGTGGGGAAAAGGAGGGCAACCGAGAGGGCCTCCAGCCGAGCCCAGCTGCTAGCAGCCTGGAGACGAGCGAGCCAACTTCCTGGGGGACAGCTGGGCCGCCTGCACCCCCCTTGCCCAGCGCTAGTGGGGAGGAGTGGGGCAGGGGGATGCGTGTCCATCAGCTCCCCAGGAAGCGCTCAGAGCCAGCGCATCATCTCCGAGGCTAATTCGGCTCTAGAAATAACTTTTTTATTTTTTACTCCCCTCTTCTGATTCTCCCAGAAAGGGGCTCATCCCTTACTCACCCTAGGCAGCTCATGGTGGCCTCTTTCGGTGGTGGTCGCCTATGCTCCGCTGCAGAGCGGAGAGCTGCGCCCGGGCTGGGGTGGGGTGGGGGGCGGGGAGGGTGGCCAGCCCAGTCCATGACATTGGCCAGGCCCAGAGGGAGGGGCAGGCTGCGGGGTGAATGGCAGCGAGGGGAGGGGGCGGGCTGAGCCGGGGAAGGGGGAGGGGAGGGATAGGGGAGCAGTCGCGGGCCCCGGAGGCTGGGTGAGGAGGGAAACCGGGCGGGATCCAGCGGGGGAGAGCAGCAGTCCGGCCTGGTCCAAGCTGGGCTGGCAGCGAGGGCCTCCAAGGATGGAGGTGGCGTCAGGAGATTCTTGGATTCCGCTAAATGAGGACCCACCAGGATTTTTTTTTTTTTTTCTGACAAATAAATTTAGAGCAGGCCAGGCTTGGTTTGGTGGCTCACGCCTGTAATCCCAGCACTTTGGGAGGCTGAGACGGGCGGATCACTTGAGGTCAGGAGTTTGAGACCAGCCTGGCCAACATAGTGACACCCCATCTTTACTTAAGATACAAAAATTACCCAAGCATGACGGTGCCTGTACTCTCAGCTACTCGGGAGGCTGAGGCAGGAGAATTGCTTGAAGCTGGGAGGCAGAGGTTGCAGTGAGCTGAGATCGTGCCACTGCACTCCAGCCTGAGTGACAGAGTGAACTTTATCTCAAAAAAAAAAAAAAAGAAAGAAAAGTAATCACAAAGGGCCAAGAGCACACATGATGGTCGGGGGTGGGGGATACTGGAGCCCCACATGACACAGTCCTGGTCTTCCCTGCCCTCACATTGTGCCATCATCCTCTCTGATGTCCTGCTGCATTGGGAGTATCCTGTATCCTGCTGGACTGGGAGTATCCAGTATCTTGCTGGATTGGGGGTATCCCGTACCCTGCTGGATTGGGAGTATCCGGTATCCTGCTGGATTGGGAGTATCTAGTACCCTGCTGGATTGGGAGTATCCGGTATCTTGCTGGATTGGGAGTATCCTGTATCCTGCTGGATTGGGAGTATCTAGTACCCTGCTGGATTGGGAGTATCCTGTATCCTGCTGGATTGGGAGTATCCTGTATCCTGCTGGATTGGGAGTATCCTGTATCCTGCTGGATTGGGAGTATCTGGTACCCTGCTGGATTGGGAGTATCCGGTATCCTGCTGGATTGGGAGTATCTAGTACCCTGCTGGATTGGGAGTATCCTGTATCCTGCTGGATTGGGAGTATCTAGTACCCTGCTGGATTGGGAGTATTGGGTATCCTGCTGGATTGGGAGTATCCTGTATCCTGCTGGATTGGGAGTATCTAGTACCCTGCTGGATTGGGAGTATCTGGTACCCTGCTGGATTGGGAGTATCCGGTATCTTGCTGGATTGGGAGTATCCTGTATCCTGCTGGATTGGGAGTATCTAGTACCCTGCTGGATTGGGAGTATTGGGTATCCTGCTGGAGATTTCTACAATCTAGGTTTTGGGGTGGAGCAGGGAAGACTCTGACTTTTTTTTTTTTTTTTTTTGAGACAGTGTCTTGCTCTGTCACCCAGGTTGGAGTGCAGTGGCACAATCATAGCTTGCTGCAGCCTCAACCTCCTCAGTTCAAGCAATCCTCCAGCCTCAGCCTCCCAAGTAGTTGGGACTACAGGCATGTACCACCATGCCCAGCTCTTTTTTGTTTTTTGTAGACATGGGGTCTCTCTATGTTGCCCACGCTGGTCTCCAACTTCTGGCCTTAAGCTGTCCCCCCACCTCAGCCTCCCAAAGCATGTAGATTACAGGCAGGAGCCACCGTGTGCAGCCAAGGTGGTGACTTTAGATCAGAAGGTGGATCCTCTCTGAGGTCTGCTCCGGCCCTTCTCCCATCATTCAAGGTGGTACCCTGGCATCAGGCAGAGCCAACAGCTGCCTTCTCAGGGTGGCCCTTCAGGGTCTTTGGCCAACCCTTGTTTGGGTCTTGCAGGTATGTTGCCATGCAGTTCAAGAGCAAGGCCACCATTTCCCACTTGGGCTGGCAGGGGTTCCTGGAGTGGCTGTGGGGGATGATGGTCCTAAGCGAGACCCACGCTGCCTGTCCACCCTGCCCCTTGCTTGCAGTACCTGAGGTTGTCCAGGAGTGGCCCGCAGGCCTCCCGGGGCAGTGCCAGGGTGAGAGCCCACACCAGGTCATCCACCCTCTGCTCAGCTGCAAACTGCTTCAGCGAGATGAACACCTGCTCCTTGGCAGTCGGCTGGTCCCCCAAGATTTCATCCACCTGCAAGGAGGGGTCCTGTGAATGACCAAAAGGGATCCAGAGTGGAACCCTGGAGAACTGTTTTCCTTCTTCCTTTCATCCCTCAGTTTACCTCCACAGGCTGGAGTGCAGTGGTGCAATCGTGGCTCACTGCAACCTTCGCCTCATGGGTTCAAGCGACTCTCCTGCCTCAGCCTTCTGAGTAGCTGAGATTACAGGCATGTGTCACCAAACCTGGCTAATTTTTTGTATTTTTAGTAGAGATGGGTTTTCTCTGTGTTGGCCAGACTGGTCTCGAACTCCTGACCTCAAGTGATCTTTTGGGATGGAGTTTCCCTCTTGTTGCCCAAGCTGGAGTGCAGTGGCATGATCTTGGCTCACCACAACCTCTGCCTCCTGGGTTCAAATGATTCTCCTGCCTCAGCCTCCCAAGTAGTTGGGATTACAGGCATGCACCACAACCCCTGGCTAATCGTGTATTTTTAATAAAGACAGGGTTTCTCCATGTTGGTCAGGCTGGTCTCAAACTCCGGACCTCAGATGATCCACTCACCTCGGCCTTCCAAAGTGCTCGGATTATAGGCGTGAGTCACTGCACCCAGCTATATCATGCCATTTCTAACCTCACGTCTGCCCTCAAAATGGACCTGGTCTCATCGTTAGCATCTTCATTTTATTTGAGATGGAGTCTTGCTCTGTCGCCATGCTGGAGTGCAGTGGCACGATCTCGGTTCACTGCAGCCTCCGCCCCGCCAGGTTCAGGTGATTCTCCTGCCTCAGCCTCCTGAGTAGCTGAAACTACAGGCGAGTGTCACCACGCCTGGCTAATTTTTGTATTTTTAGTAGAGACAGGGTTTCACCATGTTGGCCAGGATGGTCTCAATCTCTTGACCTTGTGACCCTCCTGTCTCGGCCTCCCAAAGATTACAGGCATGAGCCACCTCTCCTGGCCTATTTATTTAATTTTAATTTAATTAAGTTAATTATTTACGTTTTACATGGATTCTCAATCTGTCACCCAGGCTGGAGTACAATGGCTCAAGCTTGGCTCACTGCAACCTCTGCCTCCTTGGTTCAAGAGATTCTCTTGCCTCAGCCTCCGAAGTAGCTGAGATTACAGGCATCTGCCACCACACCTGGCTAATTTTTGATATTTTTAGTAGAGATGGGGTTTCACCATGTTGGCCAGGCTGGTCTTGAACTCCTGACTTCAGGTGACCCACCTGCCTTGACATCACATTGTCACAATCTCAGCCAAAGTGCTGAGATTACAGGCATCAGCCAGTGTGCTCAGCCAATTTATTTTAACTGAATTTTTTAGTCTCACTCTGTTGTCTAGGCTAGAGTACAGTGGAGTGATTATAACTTACTGCAGCTTCAACCTCCTGGGCTCAAGTGATCCTCCCTCCTTAGCCTCCCAAGTAGCTGGGACAACAAGTGTGTGCCTGCATGCTTGGCTAATTTGTTTTTTAATAATCCCTCATCTACTTAAAGATACCTGGCTAATTAATTTTTCTTTTTTTTTTTTTAGAGATGGAGTCTTGCCATATTGCCCAGGCTGGTCTCAAACTTCTGGGCTCAAGTGAACCTCCCACCATGGTCTTTCAAGGTGCTGGGATTACAGGTGTGAGCCATCTCTCTTGCCCAGCGTCTTCATTTTCAATGTAAGGAAACTGAGGCTGGTAGAGGTGATGGCATCACCGGGCTAAGGTGAAGGGGTGAGGATTCAAGCCCAAAGAGAGCTGTGAAGATCAAAGGAACTGATACAAAAGCTTAAAACCATGCCAGACACTCAGTAATTACTAGTTACTATTATAATACCCCACTCCCTTCCATACTGTTTGCTAAGAGATCCCACAGAGAACATTCTGGCTCCATAAAAAAGTCCTGGCATATTATCTTAGCCCTGAATTTGTCTCCCTCAGTTCTCTCTCCAAACTTTTGTTTCTTTGTCTTTGTGCACAAACCAGCTGATACTAATCAAGGCACGTCTGCACAGAGGAGTGTGTGACCATTGGAAATGAGTGTGCAAATCGACACGTTGGAAATGAGTGTGCAAATGGTCACATTGGAAATGAGCATGGAAACTGACACGTTGGAAATGAGCATGCAAATTGATACGTTGCAAATGAGCGTGCGAATGGACACGTTGGAAATTATGTGCAAATGGACATGTCGGAAATGAGCGTGCAAATGATCACATTGGAAATGAGCGTGCAAATTGACATGGCAATGAGCATGCAAATGGTCACGTTGGAAATGAGCATGCAGATTGACATAATGAGCGTGCAAATGAGCACGTTTCTGGAAGCCAGGTTAAGTATGTTCAAAGCCCACCCTTTTACCCAATGATCTCACATCTAGGAATTTATCTTAGACACATCCTGAACAAGACACATGCATGATGTATGAGTGAGGTGGTTCACCTGTGTATTATTTTTAACACTGAGATGTTGGCAGCAGTGTAAATATCTGACAGTAGGGGCTAAATAATTGCAGAACATCCATATTTGTATGTAGTTTCTTGGCTATCCAGGCCAAAAATAAAGATGAATTTTATTTATTTATTTATTTAAAAATTTTTATTTATTTATTTTTTAAGATGGGGTTTCACCATATTGCTCAGGCTGGTCTCGAACTCCTGATCTCAGGTGATCCGCCCGCCTCAGCCTCCCAAAGTGCTGGGATTACAGGCGTGAGCCACTGCGCCCGGCTTATTTTATTTATTTTTTGAGACAAAAAATAAATACAATATTTTTGAAACAGGGTCTTGCTCTGTTACCCAGGCTGGAGTGCAGTGTTGAAATCTCGGCTCACTGCAACCTCTGCCTCCTGAGTTCAAGTGATTCTCCTGCCTCAGCCTCCCACGTAGCTGAGATTACAGGCAAGGGCCACCATGCCCAGCTAGTTTTTGTATTTTTAGTAGAGACAGTTTAACCATGTTGGCCAGGCTGGTCTCGAACTCCTGACCTCAGGTGATCCTCCCACCTCGGCTTCCCAAAGTTCTGTGATTACAGGTATGAACCATCACATCCGCCTATCATGATCTTTAATAGCTTGTGTATTGATTAATTCACTTGCTTACCGTCTCTTGCCCTGCAGCAATGTTAGGTGTATGAAGTCAGGCTCCTTGTCTGTGTTGCTCATGGCTGTTTCCCGTCCTGCATATCACAGGCCCATGATCAATGACTGAAAAATGCATGATTTTCTTTCTTTTTTGTTTTTTTTGAGACAGAGATCTTGGCCTGCTGCAACCTCCTCCTCCTGAGTTCAAGTGATTCTCCTACCTCATCCTTCCAAGTAGCTGAGATTAGAGGCAAAGGCCAGCATGCCTGGCTAATTTTTGTATTTTTTGTAGAGACGGGGCTCCTCTATGTTGGCCAGGTTGGTCTTGAACTCCTGACCTCAAGTGATTCACCCACCTTTGCCTCGCAATGTGCTGAGTTTATAGACGTGAGCCGCTACGCCCAGCCTGCATGGTTTTCAGTATCTCTACTTCTCCATTCCCTGTTATATACATGTTCAAGTCTCTCTCAAGCTATAAATAAATAAATATCAAGCTGGGCATGGTGGCTCACACCTATAATCCCAGAGCTTTGGGAGGACAAGGTGGTAGGATCGCTTCAGGCCAGGAGTTAGCGACCAGCCTGAGCAACATAAACAAACTCTGTCTGTAAAAAAATGAAAAAATTAGCCAGATGTGGTGGTGTATGCCTGTAGCTCCAGCTACTCAGGAGGCTGAGGTTGGAGGATCTCTTGTGACTTGGAAATCAAGGCTGCAATGAGATGTGATCACACCACTGCACTCCAGCATGGGCGACAGAGCGAGACTATCTCCATAAATAAATAAATAGGCCGGGTGCAATAGCTCACACCTGTAACTCCAGCATTTTGGGAGGCTGAGGTGGGCAGATCACGAGGTCAGGAGTTCAAGACCAAACTGGCCAACAGTGAAACCCCATCTCTATTAAAAGATACAAAAAGATTAGCCAGGCATGGTGGCACGTGCTTATAGTCCCAGCTACTCAGGATGCTGAGGCACAAGAATTGCTCGAACCCGGGAAGTGGAGGTTGCAGTGAGTAGAGATCATGCCACTGCACTCCAGCCTGGCGATAGAGTGAGATTTTCATCTCGGGAGGTGGTGGGGGAAGAAAAAAAAATGAAAAACCTAGCTAGATATGGTGGTGCACATCTGTAGTCCCAGCTACTTGGGAGGCTGAGGCAGGAGGATCTCCTGTGCCCAGGAAATCAAGGCTGCAGTGAGCTGTGAATACACCACTGCACTCCAGCCTGGGCGACAGAGTGAGGCCCTGTCTCCATAAATAAATGAAGGACAGTCCTCCTTTGATCCTGAAAGCTGTTCCTTCTCCTTTTTCTTGTCCAGAGCTGTCTACATGTGCTGTTTCTGTACCACTGCTCTTTGCCACCGCCTGCTCCGGCCAAGAACCCCAGACGGTGACTCCCAAGACCTCGATCTTTGGCCCAGAGCTCGCTCTTGAGCTCCAGAACTTATACCCATCCGCTTTCTAGATGATTCCACAAGGGGAGGAGAAGTAGCAGGAGGCTTCCAGTCAGAGGTCACTTTCTGTGCACATCTGAATCTGAGCACAGACATACCATGAATCTGTATAACTGTCTGTCTCCCTCACCAGGCATGATGACCCGAGGTCTTGTGCATGTCCAGCCTCAAGCACAGTGCCTGGGACATATTAGGCACTCAGTGAATGTGGATGGGACTGAACCAAAAAGCAGCCTTGCATTGTACTTCCTGCAGGCCCTGAGCTCACCTCTGTTTCCCTCCCTGTGAGCAGACCAGACTGACAGCACCGGTTACCCCCTCCCCATGCATGCGCCGTGCTGAGGAAGGTTACCGGTTTGGAAATCAAAGTCAGCAGCAACCTCGATTCAAAGGAGAACATGGCTGGCTGCAGAGATGTTTTATGTAAGAAAGAGGAAAAAATAGTTCCTCCCTCCTGGGGCCCGTGCCACAGTGCGGTTTCGGTGTCAGTTATTACCCAGATGTTCTCAGCCTACATCTAAGCATGAGGCATCATCACGGGACACTAATGGATTTTCTATTAAATATCAGCCACTTCAAGGAGGAAAAACTGGGGCAGGCAGACAGTGTGGGCGAGAATTGGAGGGCTGGTGATTGAAAACCAACCAGGCCGGGTGTGGTGGCTCATGCCTATAATACCAGCACTTTGGGAGGCTGAGGGGGTGGATCACCTGAGGTCAGGAGTTCGAGACCAGCCTGATCGATGTGGTAAAACCATGTCTCTACTTGAACTCCTGACCTCGGGTGATCCGCCTGCCTCGGCCTCCCAAAGTGCTGGGATTATAGGCACGAGCCACCACACCCGGACTAGCCACCATGCCCCGCCAGTCTTTACTAAAAAAGGCAAAATTAGCCAGGCATAGTGGCACATGCCTGTAATCGCAGCTACTTGGGAGGCTGAGGCAGGAGAATTGCTTGAACCCAGGAGACAGAGGTTGCAGTGAGCCATTGCACTTCAACCTGGGCAATGAGAGCAAAACTCCATCTAAGAAAAAAAAAAAGAAAGAAAAAAGAAAAGAAAAGAAAACTAACTGGGCTCCACAGAGGCCCTTCATCTTCCCAAGGCAGTCATTTTTGGAGATTCACTCTCAGCTTTTGGGGGGTACCCAACAAGCCCTAACCAAAATCCTCTGCTGCCTTGTTCCTTTTCCTCGTGCCAGAAAACGCCCTGCAGCTGGCCTGGGAAGCCTGTTGGAGTCTTCCCTCAGCGTATTGCTTCCCAGCCCTGCTCTTGGGCAGTTCTTCTTTTGCATCCTGCCCTGTTTGGGGCTCTAAGCATACCCCTTTCCAACTCTGCAGGGATTAGATGGAGTCTGGGATAGACCTTTGGTTCCATGGCAGGTGATCTGGGATTGCAGAAGGCATTACTTGCACTCACCAGTATTTCTAGTTCTTCTCTATCCTGGACACACAGAAGACTACATTTCCCAGCATCCTAGAGAGCAGCAGTGTGACCAGTTCTGGCCAATGAGGATTGAGGTGCTGTCCTAAGAGCAGATGCACAATTTTCCGTGCTCTCCTCCTCTTTCGTAGAGAACCCTGAAGCTTCAAATTTAGATGGAGGAGTCTGAAATGCCGAGATCTCATGTGGACATTGAGCCACCCTAGAAAGTCACCTGATCCCCTAAAGGACTCTGTGGGTGAAAAGTAAACTTCTGTAGCACAAAGGCACTAAGATGTTGATTTTGGGTCGGGTACAGTGGCCCACACGCGTAATCCCAGCACTCTGAAAGGCTGAGGCAGGAGAGTCACTTGAGGCCAGGAGTTTGAGACTAGCCTGGGCAAAATAGCAAGACCTCATCTCTCCAATTATTTTTTTCTTTTTAATCAGCCAGGTGTGGTGGAGCACAACTGTGGTCCCAGCTACAAGAGAGGCTGAGGCAAGAGGATCACTTGAGCCCAGGAGTTGGAGGCTGTAGTGAGCTATGATTGTACCACTGCACTCCAACCTGGGTGACAGTGCTAGACCCTGTCTCAAAAACAACAACGACAACAACAAAAATGTTGGCTTTGTTTATTGTAGCAGCAGAGCCTATTGTGGGTACAGGAGGAAAGTCATGGCTTTGAAATATCTGGACATTGGTGATGGAGGAAAGGTGGAGTTGAGTCCCGTGTGTATGTGAGTGTGTACCTGGCCACAGAGGCTGGTCTGCTCAGGGTCAGAAAAGCCCATTTGGGGGATCAAGCTAGGGTACATGATGGAGGAGACACTCCTGAGGGGGTTAATTTAGAAGAGTTTAGGACTAGAACAAGATTGGGCACTGGAGGAGGCCAGAGTGGGTGGGGACCTGACACCTTGGCAGTGGGCTGGAAGGCATTTCTGCAATAGTCTAACTCCAGCAGAGTTTCCAGGCTCCCTGACCTCCCAAACCCCATGGTCAAATGCTACTGGGGTAGGACTGAGTAGATTCCCTTCCACGGAGGAAAAGTCTGTGAGCTTGGTAACACAACAGGGTGACTATAGTCAATAATAACTTAATTGTACTTTTTTTTTTTTTTTTTTGAGATGGAGTCTTATTCTATTCCCCAGGCTAGAGCACAGTGGTGCGATCTTGGCTCACTGCAACCTCCGCCTTCCGGGTTCAAGTGATTCTCCTGCCTCAGCCTCCCCGAGTAGGTGGAACTACAGGAATGCACCACCATGCCCAGCTAATTTTTTGTATTTTTAGTAGAGACCAGGTTTCATCATGTTAGCCAGGATGGTCTCAATTTTGTGATCCGCCCACCTCCCAAATTGCTGGGATTACAGGGTGTGAGCCACCGTGCCCAGCCTTAATTGTACATTTTAAAATAATTTAAGCCAGGTGCGGTAGCTCACACCTGTAATTCCAGCACTTTTGGGAGGCCGAGGCGGGTGGATCTCCTGAGTTTAGGAGTGTGAGACCCACCTGGCCAACATAGTGAAATCTAGTCTCTACTACAAATACAAAAATTAGCCAGGCATGGTGGCAGGCACCTGTAATCCCAGCCACTCAGGAGGCTGAGGCAGAAAAATCATTTGAACCTGGGAGACAGGGGTTTCAGTGAGCCAAGATTGTGCTACTGCACTCCAGCCTGGGTGACAAAGCCAGACTCTGTCTCAAAAAAAAGGCTGGGCATGGTGGCTCACACCTCAAATCCCAGCACTTTGGGAGGCCCAGGAAAGAGGATCACTGAGGTCAGGAGGTCGAGACCAGCCTGGCCAACATGGTGAAACCCCATCTCTACTAAAAATACAAAAATTAGCCTGGCATGATGGTGCATGCCTGTATTCCCAGCAACTTGGGAGGCTGAGGCAGGAGATTGCTTGAACTTGGGAGGCAAAGGTTGCAGTGAGCTGAGATTGCTCCACTGCCCTCCAGCCTGGGCAACAGATAGAGACTCTGTCTCCAAAAAAATAAATAAATAAGTAAATACAAACTTCAAGAGTGTAGATGGATTGTTTGTAACTCAAAGGATACATGCTTGAGGGGATGTGTACCCCATTCTCCATGATGCACTTATTTCACATTGCATGCCTGTGTCAAAACATCTCAGATACCCCATATGTACACCTACTAGGTACCCACAAAAATTACAAATGAAAATAATGTAAAAAAAAGTCTATAAGCTCAAGTGTCCCAGCCACCAAACAGGTACTAAGTTTCCAGGCTTCACATCCACAGGGGCCCTGAGGCACAGGCAGGGATAGGGATGGAGTGTCATGGCTCCAGACTATTTCCTAGTCACACACAGTCTCACTTTTTGTTCCACTCAAGTATTAGTGAAATAAAGGCCTTGGGACCACATCTGAAAGCTTTGGAGGACAAAAGTGAAGGTGAGTGGCGTGAGGAGGTCGCTGTACTGAGACCTTGTCGGTGGCCTAGGGTAGATGTGACCATACTAGGCAACCTCTTCTATAACTGTGTCACATCCTAGGTTTCTTGGGATTGCCTGTATCTATCCAGTAAATGGCAGTTTCCTGCAAATCAGGGGTTGCTTGGGATTCAGGCCTGAGACCGATTCGATCCTCCCTCTTTCCATCCCAGCCCTGGATCTCTGAATGGTTCCTCTGTCTCCCCTTGTGGCTGCTCCGCAATTCCTGCAGGTGACTCAGGCCTTGGGCTCTCCCTGTGGCTGGAGGTCTGATCCATTCTAGGATCCTGATTCTTAATCTTCAGGGCCACCCTAATATTCCACCTGCAGCCTATCACAGCCTGGTTTGTGCCAAAGACCAAGAGGAAATGCCTTTCAAAGGTTGGAGAACCCAAACTAGGGCCCCCTGCAGCCAACAAGCCAGCCAGACTCCTGTGCAAGGGCAGGCCTAATCCTGGCTTTGTGGGGGCTGAGAACAGGTGTCACTCTTTTACACTTTTTTTGGTGGGGGGGAATGGAGTCTTATTCTGTCACCCAGGCTGCAGTGCAGTAGCCTGAACTCAGCTCACTGCAACCTCCACCTCCCAAGCTTAAGTAATCCTCCCATCTCAGCCACCTTGAGTAGCTGGGACCACAGGTGCACTTTTTGTATTTTTGGTAGAGACAGGGTTTCACCACATTGCTCAGGCTGGTCTTGGTCTCCCAAAGTGCTGGGATTACAGGAGTGAGTCACCTCACCCCACTGGCTCTTTTATGTTTGATCTTGGATGAAGGGCCAAGAAGTGCTATGTGTGGCTCTTTTTATTTTAGAGATAGGGTCTCACTCGGTCACCCTGGCTGGAATGCAGTGGTGCAATCATAGCTCCCTACAGCCTCTGGCCCTGGTATAGCGGCGCCCCGCCCACTCTCTCCGCTCTCTCTCTCATCTCACATTATGAGCCCCGCCCCTGTCCCGCCCGTCCCACGCCCTACCTGGCGGCTGAACTCTTGGGCCTTGCGCCTGCGCTCTCGGTGCACCGCGTCGGGGCGCTTGCGGCCGGCCAGGCGCAGCAACTCGCGGCCCAGAGCTAGGCCGCGGCCGGACCTCGGGGCCCGAAAGGCTGTGGTCGGGGCAGCGGGGCCCGATCCCGGACCCGAGCCACCGTCGGGTCCCGGCAGCACGCCCAGGCTGGGCGGCACACGTGGGCAGCGCCGTGCCAGGCGCACGAGGCGCTCGCGGCTCAGGCCGCCCACCGCCAGTCCCTCCACCTCCAGGATCTGGTCCCCTGGCTGCAGTCCCCCGGCATGCGCGCTGCTCCCCTCGGTCACCTCCAGGACGAAGCAGGGGCTGGAGCCACCTAGCCGGAAGCCAAAGTCCTCGGGCCAGCCCTCGTTGGTGGCCGGCATGGCAGTGGTGGTCATGCACCTGGAACTGGAGACAGAACAGGGATTTCCTTGCGGCTCTGTCCGTGGCTCCAAAGCCACTCAAAGGCCCAGGCATGTGCCACTCAAGGCCTCTATTTATCTCTGCCTCCTCCCTCTGACTGCCTTTGTCTCAATTCCCTTCCATCTGTCTTTTTTTTTTTTTTTTTAGACAGAGTCTTGCTCTATTGCCCAGGCTGGAGTGCAGTGGCATAATGTTGGCTCACTGCAACCTCTGCCTCCCTGGTTCAAGTGATTCTCCTGCCTCAGTTTCGAAGTAGCTGGGATTATGTTCACACCACCATGCCCAGCTAATTTTTGTATTTTTAGTAGAGATGAGGTTTCATCATATTGGCCAGGCTGGTCTTGACCTCAAGTGATCTGCCTACCTCAGCCTCCCAAAGTGCAGGGATTACAGGTGTGAGCCACTGCACCCGCCCTTTTAAGTGCCTTGAATTTTTTTTTTTTGAGACGGAGTTTCGCTCTTGTTACCCAGGCTGGAGTGCAGTGGTGCAATCTGGGCTCACCTCAACCTCCACCTCCTGGGTTCAGACAATTCTCCTGCCTCAGCCTCCTGAGTAGCTGGGATTACAGGCACGCACCACCATGCCCAGCTAATTTTTTGTATTTTTAGTAGAGACGAGGTTTCACCATGTTGACCAGGATGGTCTCGATCTCTTGACCTCGTGATCCACCTGCCTCGGCCTCCCAAAGTGCTGGGATTACAGTGCCTTGAATTTTTAACTAATGCGGCCACATGCTTTTCCATGGGCCCCTGCTGCTTCCACCATTCTGTTTTACTGTCTTACATGGTTCACTTGGTTTCCATGGGACCTCCTCACTCCCTCCACCTTAATCCCTCTTCTTACCCCTTCTCCATCTACCAAAATCTCCTTTCAGGATCTGGCATGAATCACAAACTTTCTGAAGCCCAGAAAGTTGGAGCAGGATGGTCTCCCAGAGACCATTCATATCGCTGGAGCTTATAGAAATGGAGACTTGAGACGGGGCACCGTTGCTCATGCCTGCAGTCCCCACACTGGAAGGCCAAGGCGGGTGGATCACGAGATCAGGAGTTTGAGAGCAGCCTGACCAACATGGTGAAACCCCGTCTCTACTGAAAATAGAAAAATTAGCTGGGTGTGGTGGTCAGCTGGGGCTGGTAATCCCAGCTACTCAAGAGGCTGAGGCAGGAGAATCACTTGAACCCGGGAGGCAGAGGTTGCAGTGAGCCAAGATGGTGCAACTGCACTCCAGTCTGAGGGATAGAGCAAGACTCCATATCAAAGAAAAAAAAAATGGGGTCTTGATATGTTGCCCAGACTGGTCTCAAACTTCTGGGCTCAAGTGATCCTCCTTCCTCAGCCTCCCAAAGTACTGGGATTACAGGTGTGAGCCACTGTGCCCAGCCTGGGAGAGACTTTAGAAACCTCCTCAGACCCAGCACATGGAGTATCTGCACCTTGAGACAGGAGGAGGGCCCTAACCCAAGGTCACCCAGCTAGGGAATGGCAGAGCCAGGTTACCCTCAGGCCCCCATCCAAGGCCCTCTCCACAGAGCCTCCCCACGCCCTTCAGGCAAAGCCTTCAACCTCTGTCCAGATGTCTCCTGCCTGGCTTGAGAATGCCCTGACAGGCTTCCCCTCACTTGTGTTGTAGGATGTGGAGTGCGTTGATGTCCTCTCTCCCATGCCCTGGGATTCGGGGAACAAATATTTATGTACTGGCCCTGGTGGCAGGGGTGGGCATTGACCAGGCTGGCCCATCACTGTATTTCAACCTGTGTGTCCCATGGAGGGCTCTTTGGAGCTCCTGCAGAGCTGATATGTTGGTCCTGAGAGAGAGGTCTTTCTGTGGGTCTGTTAGCTGTATGAACGTTGCAGGTTTGCGGCTGCTGGCAGCCCTGTTGCCACCATGTGGAGGATCAGTTCTTCCGACATCATCAGAACTCCTGGATCCAGCTATGCCTGAAATGCACCCAACTTACATTTGACAGAAGGGCTTCTCAGTAACACAGGCTCATGAATTCCTCTTTCTTACTGTTTTTTAAAGGCTATTTGGCTAGATGAGGTGCCTGTAATCTCATGCCTGTAATCTTAGTGCTTTGGGAGACAGAGATAGGAGGATCACTTGAGCCCAGGAGTTCAAGATCAGCCTGGGCAACAGAGCAAGACCTTGTCTTTTTTTTTTTTTTTTTTTTTTTTTTTGAGACAGAGCCTCACTGTGTTGCCCAAGCTGGAGTGCAGTAGCTTGATCTCAGCTCACTGCAACCTCCACTTCCCAGGGTTCAAGTGATTCTCCTGCCTCAGCCTCCTGACTAGCTGGGACTGAAGGTACGCACCACCACACATGACTATTTTTTTTTTTTTTGTAGAGACAGGGTTTCGCCATGTTGGCCAGGCTGGTCTTGAACTCCTGGCCTCAGGTGATCCACCTGCCTCGGCCTCCCACAGTGCTAGGATTACAGGTGTAAGCCAGACTCTGTCTTTAAAAAAGAGCCGAGCATGCCATATTACAGGTGTATTACCGAGCATTACAGGTGTAAGCCACTGTGCCTGGTGAGATGAGGAAAAAAAGATTTTCTTTAAAAATCATGGCTATTGGCTGGGCGTGGTGGGTCACACCTGTAATCCCAGCACTTTGGGAGGCTGGTGTGTATATTTCTGTCTATTTATAGCAGGGGCTTCTTGCAGGAGCCCATGGTGGCCTCTGAAACAGTAGGCTGTATGTGGTGTTGGTATTCTGGCCAGTGTGTAAAGGCTTCCTGAGCTGGCTTGGAAGAAACTCCAAGGGCTGGTTTTGCAAGGCACTGGGCTTGGGTGCTGCTCAGCCCCCTGCAGATGTGTCATCTGCCCATGGCAGTCCTCTTCCCGGAGCCAGCCTCTCCCAGGAGGCCTGGGGAATTTTTCCGGGAAGGTGCAGAGTGGGGAACTGGAGACAGGGAAGAGACCCATTGTGGTTTAGAAGGAACTGTCCTTGAGTGACACCCAGTGAGAATTGGTGTCACCTGGCCACAAGAGGGCCAAGTGAGAGAACTCCTTACACTGGGTGGGACAGAGGCTGTCATATCCTGAGGCTGGCAGGATCAGACCCAAACACATCCCAGGAGTCCTCATCCTCAGCTACTAAGCTATGGTGCCAGCCCCCAGGCATGGAGCCTCAGGGACACTTCCTCTGTAGCTTGGTGGCAAAGCACTGGGCTCCTGTGCCCAGCTGGGGTTTGGCCATCACCCCGTCCTGGAGGGAACTGAAGTCAACCATAAGAGAAGACTCAGCTCCCCATCATCAAGGAAAAGCTGGGTGGGCATGGTGGCTCATGCCTGTAATCCCAGCACTTTTGGAGGCCAACGTGGGTGGATCACTTGAGGTCAGTCATTGAAGACCAGCCTAGCCAACATGGTGAAACCCTATCCCTACTAAAAATATAAAAATTAGCTGGGCATGGTGGCACATGCCTGTAATCCCGCTACTTGGGAGGCTGAGGTGGGAGAATGGCTTGAACCTGGCAGGCGGAGGTTGCAGTGAGCAGAGATTGTGACACTGCACTCCAGCCTGGGTAGCAGAACGAGACTCTGTCTCAGAAAAAATTCGAAAAAGGAAGGGCTGACTGGAAACCGAATTGGGGGCTGAGGCACAATCCCCACGTCCCATGCACATCTATTCTGGCTGCCACACCTGTGCTGGGTGGCAGGGCTACCCACCAGAGCCCAAAGCAGGGAACTCCTAACACCTCTACACCCAACCTGGTTGCTCAGCCTACAGTACTGACTTCCAGGGCTCCCAAATCCTGGCAAACCCTCTGATGTATCCCCAGCCCTGCAGACTGACCCAAGCCCTCTCTTCTGTCTATCAGAGCCCCCAGCCTGGGCCACTGTCTCTTCTTTCACCTCCCCTGGAAGCAGGAATGCAGGTTCTTAACCAGGAATAACTGGGCTAGCTCAGATCATGAGAAAGAGGCATCTCTGGGTCCCCGATCTCAGATGAGTGGATGCTGTGCCCCCAGCCCAGGTCCGCTCACCTTTCTCGATGATAACTGCAGTGACCCCGGAGTTCAGAGCACAGTGCTCACGGGACACCGAAGGACACTCGCTTGCAGCCAGCCCTCTGCTGCTCAGGGCCTTGGAATCTGTTACTGATGCTCCCGCAGTGACAGCTGGAGTTTCTAAGGCAAAGTGATCCTCTGGGTAACACGAGAAGGCCCCAGTTACCAGGTGGACCAGCAGGATGGCTGGATGGGCTTGGCCAGGGCCCAGGCTGGCTGGCCCCAGCTGCTTACTCCTGGTGGGGGTGAGCCACGGCTGGGGCCCGTCCCATCCACGAGGTCCCAGAACATGGCAGGTGGATCAAGAGGATTCAGGGGTGTTGCTTTGGGTTGGGTGTGTGACTTGGTTTAGTGGGAACAGTGATGCTGGAGGGGACCGTGAGACCCAAAAGGGCAGGGGAATCCAGTTCCTGCAGAGAACACTGAAGTGAGAGAACTACAGGCTGAGAATATTGGAAGGAGAAGGGGAGACCCAGGCTAGCAAAAATTGTCATGGGGCCAGGTGCAGTGGTTTACACCTATAATCCCAGCACTTTGGGAGGCTGAGGCAGGAGAATCACTTGAAGCCAGGAGTTCAAGACCAGCCTGGGCAACATAGCAAGACCTCATATCTAGAAGAAAATAAAAATAAGCCGGCACAGTGGCTCACGCCTGTAATCCCAGCACTTTGGGAGGCCGAGGCAGGTGGATCACAAGGTCAAGAGATCGAGACCATCCTGGTCAACATGGTGAAACCCCGTCTCTACTAAAAATACAAAAAAGTAGCTGGGCATGGTGGCACCTGCCTGTAATCCCAGCTACTCAGGAGGCTGAGGCAGGAGAATTGTCTGAACCCAGGAAGCAGAGGTTGCGGTGAGCCGAGATCACACCATTGCACTCCAGCCTGGGTAACAAGAGCGAAACTCTCTCTCTCAAAAAAAAAAAAAAAAAAAATAATAATAATAATAATAAAAGAAAAGAAAAAGAAAAATTA